TTCTGTATTCTAACTTTTGGGCCTTGTCCAGTTTTCAATTTTTCTACCTGTTGGAGAGTAAATCTGAAAGTATGAGAATATTAAGTATTTTCACCATTCAACAGTAATGAATGTTTTGGTATAACAGGGTAAAATATCCGGTTTTATTTACGGTTTGTGTGTAGATCCTTCGTGAGATCCTGCACCGCGATGAGGTAGAGGAGGTGACGGCATGTGTTTTCAGTCTGCAACTGATGCTGAACGTTCCTGGAGTGACAGCAGCTCTCTCCTCCTCGTACGCCTCCTCCAGAGGGGACCGGAGCTCCATCAGGTCCAACACCTCCCATGTAAGGTTTGATGACAAAGTAGACTCCATTCACAAGAAGTCAGTCAAATTTACCACTGAGCAGCAGAATGAGTCAGGTGAGTGTACATTGACCATTATAAATCTGGCACTGACTTGCTGACCACTGACCACTGTCCACTGACCAGGAAGTGGGATGATTGGATATCAGAGTTATTGAAGTAATGACATTTATGTTTATTGGTGGTCAGAGGTGAAATCTGTTTAAAATATTAACAACCTTTTTTCAAGTTTCATAATTATAAGGCTTAGGGCAAGGTGTTATTGTGTGATTCCATATTCCATAATTTGAATATCAATAATTGACATCTGATAGCAAGTACACTGCAGAAGACTGACATTTGATAGCAAGTATACTGGAGAAGACTGACTCTCAGCTATTGCCATGTTTGCTCTGCATGTTCTGTCGTGTGTTAAACACATGCTTATTTCTACTTCGCATTTTGCCAATAAAAAACCCAATTTTAGTAGAACTCTGATGACTGTTACGGCCCAACGGCCTCATGTTCTGTTTTAAGATGGTGAAGAAACGAGTGAGAGTGGGGAGGAGGACTCGTCTGAGGAGGAATACGAGGATGAGGACGACAACCAGATGAGAAACAGATTCGCTTACGCCTACCAGGAAAAGGAGAAAAAGTAGGGTGGCTTTCGAAATTGTCTTCAAGACATAAATTCATGAACTTTTGTAATGGTTTTCTATGGAAAATTTCAAGTTAAAGATTTCTGTAAGTTAAGGAAGGCTCGTGACTCTGAGGCTTTCATTAACTTTTGTGATGGAAAATGTAAAGCTTTTGTAATGGAAAATATAAAGCTTTTGTAATGGATAAA